TTATTGAATTGAAACTCTCTCTTGTTAAATTATGTTAACGTTGTAAATTATAAAATGTGGTTACACAGGAATTACTTTTATTGTTCGTTGATATGTTCAAAGATTAAATAGTCATTTACAATTAAGTCTATAAGTGAATATTTGTTATATTTGAAGTATTTTAAAGAGAAGAATTAAACTCTCACTCGATTTGTTTAGATATTAAAATATATCTCTATGTCTTCGTTCAGATCTGTATCAAACAAAGGAATAAACAGAAAGAAAAAAGCGGACTATGACGTTGTGACACTAGTCATTGGAATTATTGATTAGTGTCATTCGTTCCCTTCATATATATATATGCTTTTTCTTTTCTTTTCGATGGAGATATTTCCCTGGATGATGGTTCCTGAAGCTGGATTCCATGAAATTCCGGCAAAATCCCTAAGAAAACTTGCCATTTCTGGGCGGGTTTCGCCTGTAAAATGCCAGGAATCCTAGGGAGAAGCGAGGTAACCATATGTGGCTGCCGACTTTGACATGTTCCGGTCCAAACCAGATAAATCTAGTCACCGAATCCGTTCAACGGGATTACTGCTTCGATGAAATCCTCAGAATACCACGGAACCGGCCGTTTCTGTGCCGAATTGTTCGACCTGGATAGAAGGGAAAATATTGGACAGAACGAAAGAAAAGAATCAACTATATGACAGTAGTAAATGTAACGAAAGAGAGAGAACGAACGAACGAACACATATTCGTACACGCAGATAGTCAGGGCAAATAAAATAAAGGGGCGATCATGTATATAAAACATATCATAGTTGGTTTTATCCATATGCTTCAATAGAAAACACTCGTATAAATAGTTATTTTTTTTCCAGTAATAATATTACTATTCAGATGGCTCTATTTAATCAAGATTGGGATAGTATTGGTGGCGCTGATGATGAAACACAAGATGATAATCAACAAGGCAGGCCAGTAATAAAGAATTTTTTTTTTTCATAACAAAATTAATCGAATTACATTTTAGATTTAACAACTTGTGATGGTACATTAATGTTTGGATCTTTATCTAATACGATGAAATCCAATTCAGCGATTGATGATAATAATGAAGATAATGAATTAAAAACTGGTTTTCAGTTATTTATGCGTGCTGCACTAGGCATGTACCGAGCCTGAGCCCTGATCGAGCCTCTCGAGGTCGCGCTCGGGGCTCGGTGTCAGAATTGATGTAGAAGTGGGTGAGCCCCGAGCCCTAACTGGGCCTCGAGTTTGAGAGGCTCGGGCTCGGTACTTGCCTACTGCGTGCTTGTCAAAGTTTTTATCAATCCAAAATTATTTCAAATGATAAAGATCTTAGTGGTATTATTCTTCATGGAATAGAAAAAATAAAAATACATCTGATTTTAATCATATTTATATTCTTTATAAATCAGCACAACTATCAGCTGAACGTATTATTCAATTAGAAACTTTATCAAATGAAGATACATTTAAAAAAATTACGATGATTTATTTGGTTCAACACAATCGAAAAATTATTCATTAAATGAAGCATTATGGACATATTCAAATTTATTTGCAAATTCTCAACGTTTAACAGTAAAACGAGTATTTATATTTACATGTAATGATCAACCACATGCATCAAATTCCACCTATTGTAAAAAATAGTTACTTAAAATGCTACATATTTCGTATGATTTTTCTGTGAATATTTAGTTATATTTATTTTTCTTTTCTTGTAATTTTGTACATATATTATCTAATTAATTCGAATGTTCTGTTATTGATTGCTGTCTTTTTACATGTTCATATTCCGCGTGTATTGTAACTATGATTCTTTACGCCATCTCTATATGTGTTAATTATAAGGTTTTTTTCTTTATCTATTGTATTTATATTTTATGAATGATGCGTGTAGGGGAGTATATATCATTGTCATAATTCTTTTATTTTTATTATTAGTTCTATCGTAACAGATGATACAAATAGTTAATTATTTTTAAATAAAAGATAATTGAAAATCTAGGTGTAACCAATCAGGTTTTAATAAAAAGCATTTTGTTTGAGTTCGACGAACTGTATCCAACCATAAAGAAAAAACTTCCTAGAAAAGTTGTACGGAGAGTCAAAGTATTATGTTGATGAATACATATATTAAGGCATATTTTATTTCGATTAAATAAGAAAAGAATATTTAAAAAATATATTTTTTTCATCGGGTTAAATTTAAGAAAATGTTCAATATTACAGGATGTAATCATCCTAATTAGCTTCCACGTGGTACAAGTGTAGTACTTGAAACAAATGAATTATCACGTGTCATAAAATCTTTTGAATATGGTGTTTTATATGTTTGTTCATCACGTAATACCATCATATCACTAATAGAAAAAATATGTCAAATAATAATTTATATAAATAATTCATCTTACTAAGGCATTCTTGGTTGATAAGCACGATAAACATCGTCATTTTCATCTGGTTTTGGTATTGTAACATAATCGATTGGTGGTAAAGTATTAACACTTCGAAGTGCATATCCATCCGAATTTGAAGCAAGCTAATTATATTTACATAACAAAAAAAAAGTAAATCATTCAAAAGAATTCGTTTTTTTTTGAAACATACGTTTTTAAAATGTTCAAAACCTTTATGTTCGTAACATGATGGATTTTCATTCGGAAAATATTTTGGTACAAATATATGTCGTTCACGAGCAGCTTCAAAATGAGGATAATATGAATAATATCGAGGTATACTAGTGCCTATAATTTACAATAATCTATTATATTTCGATCAAAAAAAAACTAATATACCTTTTTTAGCATTTTGTAATGCTTGCATTGCATCAATTCGATAACTTTGTGAATAAGCATATTTTGGATCATTTAAAAATTTTTGAGAATCATAACGAAGACGTGGTAATTGTCCTTGAACACTAATAAAATTTTTATTATATTATATCATATATATATGAAAAATTCGTTTATATTTCTATACCTGTAATAACCATTACCAGGGAGAAGATATGATCCTAAAATATAAATATATAGAAGTAAACTGATGTACTATAGTATTAATTTACCAGTAGGTAAACTTCCGGGTAAAGCTGATACTGGATGATAATTTGCTTTACTATTGTAAACCGACATTATACTGAATGAAGATATATATTTTTAAAGGAAACTTTTCTAAAAATAAAGGTTTCGAAATTAAAATCAATAGTATTCGAACGGAATCATCGTTGGTTGTTTTTATAAACAAAAAAATTTAAAACACTCAATCTAGAAAAAACATATTTAAATGTTATTAGAATTCTTTTAGTCATTATTCAAGTAATATAAATTAAATTGTCAAGGTAACTTGAACATATTTTTCATTCAATCTATGAGTATTATTTTTCCAAGATTTAAAAATTGATTTTGTAATAAATTTTAGTTTTAAAAATTTTCTAATTTGTATTGTAAATGACATAGATGTCAGTCTCAAACGTAATACATTCATATATAAGATAATTTACCGATTAATTCCTCAAGGACTTTGTCAAAATAAGAAACAACGTATGTTATTGAGACAGTTATGTGCAACAAATGACAGACAGCTTGTTGTCAGAGATGTCCATCACTACCTCGCCGCGATGATTGAAGTAAAAAAGTGAACGCGTCATCATGGGCATCTCTATTTATTGAATAAATAGAAGTCGTGTAAGGATCTTCGATATTATACATAGGATTTTAATGATTATATAAGCATCCAGATGTAAAAAGTGTTAATTTCATCTAAGCATTACATGCTAAAAGTATCATGTTATATGATAAGGTTATTGATCATATATTCTTCATAGGTATTAAAGAACTTTGAATGTCAATGATAATGTTATCTAATCATATTTTATTTTTACTAAGGAAAATAAGCAACTTCTACAGAAAGACATATTCATTCTAGTTCTATAATTTAGTTAACATCATTTGTTATTCTCATTCTTACTGTTTACAACAAAAACATTCTCGTAGTATATTTCTTGATGACACACTATAATAAATTCAATAGAATTTATTGAATTATCGTTTTCAATGATTTCTTTTTCATCCATAATTTGTATTAATAGAATTAAATTAAATTTCTATTCTTTTTTGCCTATAGCTAAATATATTAACCATGTCCTATTCTTCTATTAAAAGCAACAATTGAATTATCGATAAATTAATTTTAATTAATATTCAGTTTGATCATCATCAGTATACAATCTACTATGTAATATAAAAGAAACGAAATACACACTTCACAAAAACAAAAAAATATCATTGAGAAACGAAACTATCTACAAACAAAAATCGACACAGGATTAATTACTAGAGAACAAGCATATATATATATATATTTAATGTTTTTTTGTTTTGTACCACATAGTGATATTTTATAAAATATAAAATCATGTTCCTAGGATTACACATACTGTACAACAAAAGGAAAAAAAAGAAAAATATTGTGTCTAGACTGATGTTTCATAAAATGGTAGACGATCAGATTTAATCTAAAAATAAGAAAAGAAATATATATCCCTAAGAAAAACTAAAAATAAACATACATTATCTGATATCTGCCGATTTTTTGTCATTCCATTGGCTCGTTTATTTGATAACAGTGTTGATGATCTACAAAAAGAAAATATTTCAATCTTTTGGAATTTATTCTTATTTGCATATTTTTGTTCTGTAATGTAAACTTTCTAAGTTATTATTGTCTGTAGATCTTATTTCCGAATATTTTTATGGATTGAGAGATCCTTATCCTTGGTATGTACTATCAGATATATAATCTTCCTTCGAAAGAAAAAAAGTTAATTCAACAAAATGCTCTTTGCATTGGAATGTTAAAAAGTCATTGTAACACTCGAACATTTTTTCTTCTTGTTTGTTTGTATTGGTAACTAAGTAGCATATTCTTTGTATTCCTAAGGGCAATTTCTTATGACAATGTTGTACTAAACTAGTTAGAACTAATATTTACTCATAATTACTGTTTGTTCAATTCCCATTTATCTTCTAAAAGAAATTTAAACACAAACTGACAATCATAAACCTAAACTTACCTATTAAGATTTTGTTTATTTTTTATATCATTTCCATTAGATATTGGAGCTGGTAAACGAATAGCTAAGCCATTAGTTGCTTCATCAAAATCTGTAATTAGTTTTTGTTTTTTTATTTTAGGTTTATTCGACGAGGAGGAGGAGGATGATGTTGACTTTGTAACTAAATTTCGTCTATTATTATTATCGTCAGCTGTTGATGGATATAAACAACTAAGAGTTTTACTAGTACGTTTCTCTTTCTTTTTATCTTTTAAATGTCCATTTGTTTTTATGGGAGTTGATTCAACAGATGATTGAGTCGGTTCATTTGATACTGGTATTGAACCACAATAATGCCGACTACTCATAATTTTTGCTGATGATGATGTGGAACTATTTGTTGTCGTTGTAAGAATTTGTTGAATAGCAATTAATGGTGAAGGTTTAGTTTTTTGAACAATACTATATCCAGCTGAATCAGTATTATTTTGTTTAGTTAATGGAGGTTTTGTTATGGATTTTAAATAAGCAGGTTTAAGACTTCGATCAGGTACAGGTGGTGGTAATGGATATTCAAATTCATGTTCAAGATCAGGATGAACATGAGTTGTTGTGGTTGTTGTTGCTATTGATGAACTCATCGTTGTTGGTTCAGATTCATAAGCTTCATCTGTTGTTGATTGTATTGATGAAACATTTGGTGTTAGAAAATCACTTTGAATATATGAAAATCCTGAATAACATTCCGATAATGGTTCATAATATGATTGTGGAATATTAATACGTTCTTGATTGCTTGAATAAGCTGAATCACGACGTACTTTATCATTTAATTCTATAGACAAACGTAGTTTAATGATTTCTATAGCTTCCAAGAAAATACTAATACCTTCTTGATATTCTTCGATAGTTAGGGGATGAAAATTTTTTTGGATAGATTCATGATTATTATCATGATCTGTTATAATACACCGAGTATTTTCTAATAATGGTTGATCAGCTGTGAAAACTGATGGGCTATAACAAAAGAAATAATTTTGTAAAAAAACAAAATTTTTAATAAAAATCTAAATTTACGAATCATGAATATTTTCAATACATGGTGATGGTATACTATTGAGTAGGAGTCGTCCTATTCTTGCTGTTTCTTCGTTAACGCCTTCATGTGTTTGATTTGTCAATAACTGTCTATTTGAAGGATACATCATTTTGTCAATATATTTATGTAAATTAATATCCTGTTTTTCAATATGAAAATGATATATTGGAGATGAATGAAAAAATTTATCGAATAATTCGTCAGTTTTGGAATTTGTTTGACAATTAAGTGTTTTCTCATCTTGATCAATTATTAATTTCGGTAAATTCTTAACAAAAAAAATAAAGGACAATAATTATTAAGTGATTCAAGAAATCAATATGATAAAGATATTTAGTTGATATGTCCTTCATATAATATTTATCTTATGGACAGCTGACAATCATTATCAATCTATATATATATATATATATATGAGGGTACATAAGCGAGAAAAAAACTTTCCTTGAATTTGATGACTCTAGTCACATATGATATACGAAAGCATGAAACATAGATTACAATTATATATGTAACAAGACGAAATAAAAAAATGGCAGCCGATGAACCTTGAGATTTATTTTTTTTTTTGAAAAAAAACTTTCTCTTTTTCAAAATGTATCAAATAGACACGTATGTCAAATAGGATGAAATTCGCCTTGGACAAGAGACACATATGGTATTGTACACGCGTCAGACAAGACAAAAAGCAAATAGATAATTGATAGTTACTTATTTGTCTACAAAATACTTACTAAAGATTAGCTTTTTTTATTTTTAGCTATGTATATTTACTAGAAATTGAATAGATTCGAAGGGGAAGATTTGAATAAAATATATCTTTTGTACATACCTGATTTGAATCATTTTGTTTCAAATCATCAAGACAATTATTATTTGTCCTTGAAAATGTGTATAATCTATTGAGACTACATCGTTGAGTATTCGATGATTGATCATCATCATTATCGGATAGTTCAGCATTTGTAGCAAAAACAATAAATTCATCAGTATCATTCATATCATTTTCATCTAATTCTCGAAGACCATTTTCATCGTCAGATAATTCTCTAACACCACTATTTTTATCATCATCTTCATCATCATCATCAATATTATTTAATAGTAATATATCAGTTAGAAGAGATTCAACTAAATCATTTGCAGTACGTTCTAATAATTCATTATGATTAATTTGTTCATTTGATAACGATAAATTTGTAATAGATGGTATAGACTTATTACTTTCCATTGATAATAATTGATTGTCATCTTCTTTATCAGTTATATCAACTAATTCAATACGACTAAAGAGATCGTTTGTACTAGAAATCAAATAAAAGAGAAAACGACGACTCAATACTACAAATCAAAACTGATTTTTCTTACTCTGCCATAGGCATTATTTGAGATTCATTTGAATTAATATGATTTTCTTGTTGCTAGAAGACAAAAACAATTAATAGCAAAACCTACTTTTCATCTTGTTCTTTTTATATACGAAAGAGAAAAAAAAATGAAGGAATAGAGAGAGAGCAGAAGAAAAAACTACCATGCGAAGAAAGTACACTAACCGTATCGTTTGCAATCACATTGTTATTTTGCTCATTGACGATAATGTTTTCAACGACGCTACCATTAGTAACCAAACATTTTGATTTCGAGATTAAACTTCCATCATTATTGTAAATTTTTGGAGCATCATAGTGATTATTTTTAGTCGATTGTTGATTATGTCTGATTGATGTTGGTATTTCTAACGTACCTGTAAAAGAAAATGCATTCTTCTCATCATCATTCACTACTAGACCTTGAAAATAAAAGAACACACACACACACAAATGGTGTGCTGCTTATAGTGCACGTTTTTCTTTTTTATGCATGTGCATATAAGAGAATATGATGGCGCATGCTTACTTATTGCTTCATCATCTCGATGAAGCCATCTCTCGTATGATCGATACCATAGGACTATATGGATGAGATACCATTTCTCTTTTTTTAAGTATGAATAAACCTTTTGTTTTTAATTGTTAAGTATCCACTCTAGTTCTTACTCATTTCTTTTCTTCTTCTTTTTTTTATTTATTTTCAATCATTGTATCTAATGAGAAAAAGAACGAAGTATAAAATAAGCAAAGAAGAAAAAAACCCGAGAAAGACATGACAAAAGGCTGTCCATTGGTATGAGTTATCAGCAGCCAACAAATGTGACAGATAGTTGGCATTGAGAATGTCATAAAGTTTTTAAGATAGTAAATATCTTATCTATGTCTTTCATTAGGTATGTTCTTAGTTAAAAAAAAAGAAGAAAAAATCAATACTGTTCAAAAATCATCTGTAATTTAAATATATATATACATAAGCAATAAAAGTTTTATCATCTGATAAGTAAGACTCATTCTACTCGGTTCATTAAACCGTACATATACAATTCAATTTTTCTTTTGATTCAATTTACTTTTTATCATTATGTTTCGTGTAACATCGCATCCGTGTACATAATACAAGGCGAGACATGAGAGAGAAAAGAAATTGACGACAAACTATAATTTTTTTTTTCTTTGCCAATGTGTGTCACAATCATTTATGTCTAGTAAGCGTACAAGTGGTGATAAAATCTGTTAATCGACAATTTCACGAAGAAACCATATGGTTAGTCATAATGCCCTTGTACAATTACAAAAAAAAATCATCATACAAACATAAGGTCTTTCTTTTTCACTTTTCTTCTTTTTGATCAATTTTACTTTTTTGATCAAAATCATATAACGACAACGATCAACTTATACTTATAAATAAAATATCTTTATATCTACCTGTTTGACTATTTGCTATTTTATTAGGTACAAACTGAGTAGGTCGATACCAACGACTTGATTTTGATACACGTTCAATGCCTTTTTCATATCTATTATATCGTCGCGATGAAGTTGATGAAGGTTTTAAAAGAGAAAAAGTAACACCGTCAATCATATGATTTGGATGCCAAGAATGCATTGATGGTGACGGTGATGTTGCTAATGATGAACGACACGAACGATGATTATGTGGATGTTGTAAATGAATTATTTCCGGTGTACGTTGAGTTTCTCTATAATGAGTTTTCCATGGTATAGATGTTGTTGAAATAATCGATTGTTTACTACCACTACTGGCTATATTTGATGTCGGGGTTATATCCGTATACCATAAAGGTATAGTCAATTTTTGTAATGAACGTTGAAAACGTCGTTCATAATCATCCATCGTTCTTGTTTGAGGTATTAAATGCGTTGAATGAATGTGGTTAATACCTATTGTTGTTAGTGGTTCTTGTTGTTGAGAATTCGATGAATGTACGACAGCATTACATTGATGTGACAATTCATCGAATATACTTAAATTGTGATCCGATATTGGTACAGGTTGTATATCTGTGTACAAGAAAAAAAAAGAAAAGAGAAAAAAAAAACGAGTAGTAAAAAGAGATGCAAACACGACATTATACTGAAAAAGAAGATTAACTTGAATAGGGTGGAGATATGTAAATGGATATGAATATAAGTACTAAATGTGTAGATGTAATTAAACGAATCACATGCTTCTTAGTTGAACATAAAAAGCATA